GAACACAAACTAACACATAATGAACACAAACTAACATAATGAACACAAACTAACACATAATGAACACAAACTAACACATAATGAACATAAACTAACACATAATGAACATAAACTAACACTTAATGAACATAAACTAACACTTAATGAACATAAACTAACACATAACGAACACTAACACATAACGAACATAAACTAACACATAATGAACATAAAGCAACACATAATGAACACAAACTAACCCATGATGAACACAAACTAACACATGATGAACACAAACTAACACATGATTAACACAAACTAACACATAATGAACACAAACTAACACATGATGAACACAAACTAACACATAATGAACACAAACTAACACATGATGAACACAAACTAACACATAATGAACACATAAACTAACAAGAACAGACTAATTACTAAAAGAACATTGATAAACAGCTAACAGAAATTAATAACAATGAACTTAAATTTGAACCATAATCCCTCCCTGACGCCATGTGACCAGCAGTCAACCACATTGAACCAATGAGTTAGTCTCATTGAGTAACAAGGACACCACCCGAAGAGAGACGTTTATTGATGAGACTATATTTACTAAATAATATACTACGTAATGATTGTATAAATAAAGGTTTAAAAAAAATCTGACCAATGAAATTACTAAACAGGTCACAGTCGGACCAATGAAATGGAGAGGGGAGGAGTGAACACTTTGTCTGTACGTTAAACAGTAAAAAAAGTCACAAAGACCCACACCCCAAGAGAGACACATATTGGGCAGCTATGGGAGCGTCTGGGTGTAACGAAGCTAAATGTTTTTGGTGGCAGGAAGCTCATTAGCCCCTCCAAAAAAAATAAAATAAAATAAAATAAAAAATCCATGTATTAGTCACAGCTGCGGGGTTCAAAGCCAGTGATAAAAGTAGTGGTTTATACTCCAGAGTATAATAGACTGAACAGAAAACATACAGACACCAATACATTTGCAGCCAAACAAAACATCTGCCTACATGCTGTTTGTAAAAAACCAGCCCAAAACGACCACAACAGAAGAGAAGAAATTAACAGGTCAACCCAAATTAAGCTAATGACGCAACTTACCTGCCCGTCTTTCTGACCTTTGAGGTCTCCGACAGCTCCTTTGTTTTCCATGTTCAGGGTAAGAATGGTCTCTGGAATCGGTCCTTGTCTGGATTCAGTCACTTTTTTGGCCACAGCCAGCTCATCCATCAGCAGGTCCCGGTCATTCTGCAGACTGGCCATGGATCTGGAGAAGGAAGACAGCTGCTCGCTGTAGGTGATATTTTCCAGAACCACCTGTTTCAGCTCCTTATCCTTCTCTGTCAGTGCCTTGAAGAGTTCATCCATCAGCTTGCTCAGCTCTGCCTGTGCATCTTTGCTCTTAAGAGCTTTTAGTTGATGAAGAAGTAGATCCCTCTCCTTAGCAAGTACGTTTAGGTCTGAAGATGTGTCCTGCAGACTGTGCTCCGCCTTGTTCAAAGCCGCCCGAGTCTGCTGAAGCTCCTCATCAAATCTGCTCCGGAGAATCTTGAAGTCTTCTATGAGATGGTCTCGGTCATTTTGTAAAGCAGCCATGGCTTTGCACAAAGATTCGTTTTGAGCCTTCGTGTCTTTGTTTTGGGATTTCGCCTCGGCTAACTGTTGCTTCAAGCTGAGTAGCTCTTTTGTGAGCTCCACCAGCTTTTGATCCGCCTCCTCTTGCCAGTTTGTCATCATCAGCTCAGCGTTGCATTCAAACACATCCCGTTCATTATCATATTTGTCCTTAGCTTTGGACAATTTTTTGTCAGTCTCACTTTCCAGCAGCTGCAGTTTTTCCTTAAGCTCATCAGCTGAAGCTTTATGTGAGAGAAGCTTCTGCTGGAGGTCATGACATTCAGCTGCTTTGGCTGCAACAGTGTCCTGTAAATTCCCTTCGTTTTTCTCTTGGAGTTCCAGATGAACATCTCTGAGTTGTTTTTCTGCTGCAATCTTTTGGTTTTCCAGGTTCCTGATCACATCCTGCTGCTTCCTAAGCAGCACCTTCAGCTGGTTGTCTTTGAGGGACAGCACCTGGTTTAGATCCTCTCTGTAGCGCAACAGCTGGGCTCTGAGCATGGCGTTCTCAGAGTTCAGGTCATCCATTTGATGTAGAAGTTTCCTGATTTCATGTTTAAAGCCTATATTTGCACCACTATTCCCATCAGTGGAAACCTCCGTTGAGCCTGACTGACTCTTTGCTTCCAGTGTTCTGTAATCAGACGTTAGCCGTTCCCGTTCGCTCTGTAAGGATGTTATTGTGTTCTTAAACAATTCCACTTTAGCCTCAATCTGCTCCTTGTCCCGAACAGACGTGTCCACCTGAATTTGCAGACTTTTGACTTCAGCCATAAGGGCTCTTGCTTTCGTGTCAGCTTTTTCCCGCTGGTGACTTAAAGACATGAGCCTGTCCTCGTAAACAGATGCCTGGCTTCGATAATTAGCGTGGAGCTGCTCCAGATACTCAGAAATCTGACCATCTTTGCTGGAGAGCAGGGAGGAGATCTCAGCATCTTTGCTGTGAAGAAGCGTTTTGAGTTGAATAGAAATTCCCTCCTGCTTCTCGAAGTCTGCTTGAATTTTGTCACATTGAGTGCGTAAAAGAAGCAGCTGGGCTTCTGTATCCGAGTTCACCTTCACCATCTGTTCATAGTGATGCTGCAGTTGGGAAATCCTGTCTTCTTTTTCAGCGAGCTGTCGATTAAGAGTGTTCTTTCCTTGTTCTAGTCGTTCCACTTCTGTGTTAAGTTCCTTTACCTTCACAGCCATGACTTCTGCATTTTCGCTCAGCTCAGCGTTGGTTACACTCACGATAAACATCTGTCTCTGATGTGCAGAGGCAGCCACACAGTAATCGCTCAGAGTCTTTTCAAGTCTTGATTTAGCCGTCTGCAGTTCATTTAGCTCCTTGTTTGTCTTCCTCATGTTCTCCAGAACACTGGTGATCATGGAGCCTTGTTCCAGGAGCTGCTTGTCCTTCTTGTTCAGGCTCTTTTGGTATAAATCATCCCAGAGTCTGGAGGCATCTGCCCCGTGTGGAACTGAAGTCAAAGCAGAAAGTTTGGCTTCGCTGGTCTCGGCTGTTCTCTTCAGAGTGTTTATCTGGAGGTCTTTGGTGTCCAGCTGCTTCATCAAGTCGTTCAGTCTTTGACTTTCTTCTTCCTTCACATCCTCGAGTTCATCTATTCGTTGCTGTAACTGATTCTGTATGTGTGTTTGTGGTTCGTCGATGCTTTGGGATGATTTTGTTTCCTCTGGGTCTTTGTGCTGCTGCAGCTGGTTTCTTTCAGACTCTAAGCTCTTGACGTTCTCCTCAGCCTCCCGGTGGAGTTTTCTGAGTGTGATCAACTCGCGCTCAGCTTGTTTATTGCTCTCCTCCAATGCAGACAGCTTGTCCAAGCCTTTCCTCTTTTCTTCTTTTAAAAATCCACAGACTGACTGCGAGCTCTTCAAAGCACCTTCCAGATCTAAAATCACCTCCTGGTATCTGATACAGTTTTGTTGGAGCTGGTTTATCTCCTGGTGTTTCTCTTTCAGCAGCTCTTGAAGCTCTTTTGTCACATTCTTGGAGTCGTTGTTGCCTCTTTGAACAGCTTTGAGTTTCTCCTCTAACTCTTGGACTAACTTGAGCTGTTCCTGTTCCTTTTCTCGCCTGAATCGACTGTTTGTTTCTTCGCTCGCCGCGAGCTGAGCAGTCATCTGCAACTTCTGGCTCTGCAGAACGCTCACAGACTCGGTCAGCTCATCGATTCTCTTAGAATTCTCCAGGATCACCGTTTCCAAATGTTGGTTTTCACTTTTACTTGTCTCTGAAATCTCCCGAGTGTTCTCAAGCTCCTCCTGCAGAAGCGACTTGTCGTCCTCCAGGATCCTCACTTTCTCGTTCAGAACGACGGTCTCCTGGCAGTGCTTAGTATTAATGTCTTTCAGCTCTTTGATGGCATTGTCCTTCTCACCCAGCTGCAGGTCATGATTAGTCTGCATTGTCTCTATTCTTTTACAGAGATCTGACTTCTCTTTTTGTAACAGATGGTTTATGTCGAGCTGTGCACGGATTTCTGTTTTTTGGACTTCGATATGAGCAGTCAATGAATTATTCAAACTGAGAGCTTCATCAAGTTTAAACTGCACGTTGTTTGTGCATGTGTTGGACTCTGAGCGCTTCTCTTCCAACAAACAGATGGCCGCTTCTAGCTTTTTTGCTAGTTGGCTGTTTCCTAGCTGCATCTCGGTAAGTTTCACCCTGAGCTCCTCTGACGAGTCTCTGAGTTGACACATATCTTCTTCCAGAAGCTGATTTTTGTTGCTTAGCTTACACATTTCCAGTTTGTGTTTTTCATCCAGTTCAGCAAGTTCCTTCTGAAGTTTCTGATTTTCTCCCTCAAGCTCCTCGATTCTTTGCCCTTTCTCTTTGGTAAACTTGTCTGTCCTCTCTTTAATTCTGTCGTTTTCTTTCTGCAGTTCTTGAGCTTGCTTTTGCCAGCGCTCCGTCTGACTCTCGTGGTGGTAGATTTTCCTGTGAGCATCCTGACACTCTTCTTTGGCTTCTTCTAAAAGCTGCCTCATCTTGTTTGTCTCAGTGCTTATGTTTCTGTGAGCCTGCAACAGAGACTCATGCTTCTGTTTCAGCTCTGAATGCTCAGACTTCCACTTGGACAGCTCCTCCATTTGAGAGTCTTTAAGTGACTTGAGTTGGCAGGAGAAGTCTTGTTTCTGTTGAGTGATGTTCTCGATGGTTAGCTTCAAGCTGTCACAGGCTGCAGAGAGGCTGCGGTTCTCGTAGAGGATGCGCTCCACCTCAGAGTCTGATCTGTCTCTGTCTTTAATATAAGACGAGGCAGAACTTTCAAGGTCCAGGTTTTGTTGTTTCAGCTTCAGCACAGATGATTTCAGCTCTGAACACCTGGCTTCGTTGGCTTCTTCTTGAGCGGACAGCCGTTGAATTTCTTCCTTCAGCAACAAGTTTTCCTTCAGAAGTTCCTTCCTGGAAACTAAAGCAGCTTGAAGTTTCCTGGTGAGAATTTGTCTTTGGTTATCCTGCTCTTGAGATTTCTGCAGCACTTCAGCTTCTGTTCTCATCTTTTCAATGGTAATTTCATGCATTCTAGTTTGCTGCTGCAACCGGAGCTCAAGTGAAGCAAGCAATTGGTCTTTTTCAGACATAAAGTTGTCTCCTTCCTTTAGCTTCATTTCAGAGTTGTTGGCACCATCTTTCATTCTCTCCTCTTGAATTTTACTTAATGTTTTGGATGTCATTAGTGGCTGTCTTAGCGTAGTTCTTTCATCTTGGAGTTCACTGTTTGAATTTTCATTTTCATGCTTTAAAGGATGAGTCTTCTCGAGTCGCTCGGCTGAAACATCTTTGTTCTCACTAAGTTGCTCCTGTGTTTCTGAGAGCATCCTTTGGAGGGTTAAATAATTGGACTGTGAAGCCTCGAGTTCTGCTTTGAGCCGATCACGTTGCTTCAGAAGAGTATCCCTCTCTTCCATGAATCTTTGCTTTTGTTCTTCCAGTGCTGTCTGATGGACAGTCAGATTGGGCTGTAGAGCAACATCTTTTTCCAAAGCTTGTGTTTGAGCTTTCTCCAGATCTTCCTGTACACTGAGCAGAGTTAATTTCAAAGATGTTTCTCTCTGTTCGAATGCGCTTAAAGCCTGGTCTTTAATGGCCGTTTCAAGGGAAATATTCTCAAATTTGGATTTAACGAATTCTAGTTCCGACTGCAAAGACATCTTTATGTCCTGCAGAGCTTTGTCCTTCTCTTCAACAAGCCGTCTTAAAGAGTTCAGGTCCTCCAGGTAAGTTGTCGAAGCTTTACGGAGGTCATCCAGCTCAGTGAGCTTCTTGTCGAGGTTTAAGCAAGCAGTTTTCAGCTCATTTCTCTGCTGATGGTGTCGCTCCAGCAGAGCCGTGTGTTCGTCGTGTAGCTCCGACAGCTCTTGAGTCAGTTTCTTCTCATTTTCTTGAGCTTTCTTCAGCGTCTCTTTGCGTGCCAGGAGGGCAGCCTGGGCTTTATTCTGCAGCGTTGCTTTTTCTGACTTGATTTGTGTCAACTCGTTCTCTAAATCCACAACACTGGCAGTGGATTTGTCCTTCAGCTTGTCATGAAGCATCTTGATCTCATCTTGAAGCTGCTCTAATTTCTGCAATAGATTGTTCCTGTCCTGCTCAAACTCTTTTTCCCTGTTTGCAGCTCTGGACTGCAGCTGTTCCATGACTATATTCGTATCGTCGATTGATTTAAATGTTTCACACAAACGCACTTCTTTCTCAGTCAAGCTACACTGCATTGTTTGTTTTTCCGACTGGAGTTGTTCCACAAGACTTTTACTCTCCGCTTCGTTCTGAAGAATCTTCTTCTCCAGAAGAGAAAGTTTTTCTTCATGTGCTTGTGCTGCAGCTTCAGCTTGGTTTCTTACTACACGCAACTCTTCTTGCAGAACCGAAGTGTTGCTTATTTCTTCTTTCTGCTTCTCGTATCCATCAATCCTTTTCAGCAGATCTTTCCTCACAACAAGAGCAGCATGAAGCTTCTTCTTCACGGTTTCCTTTTCTTTGGATAAAATGGTGAGCTCGTTCTGCAAGTTTTTGACTTCCTGTTGGGACTGTAAACGTTGTTCTTCAAACTGTTGAGAAATCTCCTCCAGCTTCCTTGCTGATGCTTGGAGAGCTTGCTCCGAGTTTTCTAACTGTGCTGCCAGAGAACTATTGTCCTCCATGAGTTTCACTCTTTCATTCGAGGCCGACTCCTCCATCTGGGCCACAGAAGTGTATCTGTCCTTTAACTGCTGACTAAGTCCAGAGAGTAGTTCCTTTTGCTGACCTACTTGAACGCTCAAACAGTTTATTTGTTTTTCTTTTGCTCTCAGTTCAGCGTGCAGCGACACATTTTCAACAGACGCTTCTCTCACTTTCTCAACTTGGGCTTTAAGCTGATCTTGTAAATTTTCTACAGCTTCCTGCAGGAGAGCAACCCGACCCTTCTCTTCATCTTTCTCTTTCTGAAGCTGTGCCATACTTCTATTCAAATCGCTTTTTAAAATGTCCATCTCTGCCTGATGACGTTCTTCTACCTGCGTTATTAACTTCTGAAAATATGATTTGTCTTTATTTAAAGTAGATCTCTCCAACGGATCTTTCCCCGCACCTTCTTTTCTCATTACAAGTGATTGGAGCTCAGCTACTACAGACGTTAAAACCTGCTGTAGGTTTCGATTCTCGTCGTCTTTTTCCTGAACAGATGCTAAAACCCGTTCAAGTTGGACTCTGGATGCTGACGCTTCTAACTCCTTTGTGCTCAGCTGATCAGAGCCCTGTCTAACTGCAGCAGAAGCCTCGACTAGTTTATCTTGCAAACTGTTCAAGTCTTGTTTTAAAACGTTAAGTTTAACATCTTTAGACCTGATTTCTTCTTCAATGTTTTGTATCTGTTCTACGAGGAGATTCCTCTTCTGCTCCTCCCTCTCTAAAACCAACAGCCACTCTCTCTCAGAGTCCTGCAGGAGTTGCTCTAGCTTTTGAATGTTTTCTTTCAGCTGGGACACTTCTTGGTCTTTGGTACTAACCTCAGTTTGAAGACTCTGCTTGTCGGACTCCATCCACTTCTCCTGCTCCTCCTTCTCTGCCACCACTCTTCTAACTTCTCCCTGTAAACGTGCGATTTCCTCTGTCGACAAATGAATCTTCTCATTCAGAATGTTGTTCTGCTCTTTGAGTGTCTGCAGCTCTGAAAGCACCTGGGATGCCTGTTTAGCCTGGGAGGCGTACTGATTGTTTATTGCATGAAGAGCCATTTCTCGCTGCTCGTGGTTTTCCATCAGTGCGTTCATTTGTGCTACGACGTGCAGATGCTGGGATTTAAGTCGTTCTATCTCAACAGTCAGCTGACTTACACGTTCTTGATGAGATGCTAAAATGTTGTCCTTTTCCTTTGAAAGGCAGGAAAGTAAGGCTTTTTTTGTTTCCAGTTCATCTCTGGCCAAAGATAACTGATTCCTCAGTGTTTCCATCACAGTTGTGGCCATCTGTTGTTCATCTAATTGTGCGTTAAGATTAGAAATTTGCTCAGTTTTCTCAGATAAGTGCTTTTGGACAACTTGTAACTCCTCTAAGCTAGCTGCATGTTGTTTCTGCAGGTTGCTGAAGGCACTTTGAGTCTCGTCTGCTGACCTGTTCAACGTTTCTGACTCAACGGACAGTGACTGAACCCGACTCTGTAGCTGGGACACCAACTCTGTGCTCGCCACCAGCTTAGCTTTAAAGAGTGCCGCTTCGTCTGCTTGTCTCTGGAGATCTACCAGAGATTTGGATTGCTCCAGAAGCTCAGCATCTTTACACTCCAAAGTGTTTTTGACACTTTCCACTCCACAAACCTGCACTTGGATGGAGTTGTTGAGCTTCGAAACAGATTCCTCAAGATGAGAAAGTTTTTCTTTCAAGCTGTTGCATTCAGTTTCTTTAGCTTGCAGACATAAGGAGAGATTTTCAACAGCAGCAGTAGAACAATGTTGAAATTCAAAGCTGGACTGCTCTTTTTTCTCCATCGTGCTCTTCGGCGTGCTCGACTCTGACGTTAAACCATCATCTTGACCTCTGAGTTCACGGTTTACGTTTTCAAGCTCTGAAACCTGTCTTTGTAAGCTGATGTTGTCGTCGTTGCTCCGTTTCAGCAGCTTCTCCTGCTCAGTGATTCGAATGTCAAGCTGATGGATCGATCTCTCCTGTTTTCTCAAGTTGTCATCTTTTTCCTGCATGATCGACGTTGTCTTTTCAGTACCTGAATGCACCGCTTCGAGTTCACCGAGTTTATTGGAAAGCTCTGCTCTGAGCCTGATGATGAGCTCTTGAGATTCGGACTGCTCACTCACAGTTTTCTGAAGTTCATGTTTCAGGCTCAGATTCTGATCCTTCAGGGCCTGAATGGTGTCTTTGAGTTGGACAACTTCTGCCTTTCTGTGCTGCTCCTCCTGCATCAGCTGACAGTTCTCTGAGGTGACTTTCTGCACAGAATCCTTTAAACGTGTAATCTCAGCTTCCATCTCTGCAGTGTTCTCCTCCATGGTCCCGAGCTGACGGTTGAGCGAAAGAACAGACTCATTTCGTTTATCCAGCTCATATTTATGACCCTGAAAATCATTTGTAATTTCTTCTAAAGTCAATTCTTTTTGCTCAAGCTGCTGTTTTGTCTCAGAGATTTCTTGTCTGAGCAACTCGACCTCAGCTTGTATCTTTGAAGCGAGGTCTTTCTGTTGCAGGAGCTCCTGCTGATAAATATCACACTCCTCTGCTTTTTGCTGAAGCATCAAGTCTTTCTCCATCAGAGCAGAATTCAGAACTGAAACTTGCTCCTGAAACGCTGATATTGCATCCTGAAGTTGCAGCAGTTGGTTCTGCTGAGCCTCCAGCTGCGATCGTTGCTCAGAAACCATTTTCTCAGTGTCGTTCAGGGACACGCTGAGCTGACTGACTTGCTCTTGTAAACTGTGGCGTTGTTCTTCCTTCTCTGTCAACGTTTTAGACAGATGCGTGCATTCATCCTTCAACTGCAGCAGACGTGTTGAATTGGAGTGTTCACTTTCCTGGAGGAGCTTGTTTAGCTCGCCTTTGTCCTTCAACAAAACATTAATTTCTCTCTGATTGTCTAAGGTCAGAATTTCAAGCCTGGAAGCTTCTTTTTGGAATAAACTTCTCTCAGCTGTTAGTTCAGAAAGTAATTTATTGTTCCCGGCTAATTCTTCCTGTAAGCTTTGCTTTTCGTGGGTCAGAACGCCGATCTGAACACTAAAACAGGAATTCTGCTCCACCAGTGCGGTGAGACGTTCGGTAAGCTCCGACACCCTCTGAAGGTGCTCAGAAAGGTCCTTTTGTCCAGACTCACAGGCAGCATGAAGCTGCTGCTTGTCCTCTGTGAGAGCCTGGATTGTGGCATTTAAACGATCCAGCTCTGTTTTTCTCACCTCGGCCTCGCACTCAAACATTTTGGTGTTCTTTCCCAGCGTTCTGATTTGGTCATTCAGAGCATTCATGGCCCCGTTCCTCTTGTTCAGTTCATCTTTGTAAATTTGACATGTTCCTTCCATTTCTTGAAGTTGCTGCCTCAGACATGAAACTTCTTTTTTAAGTGATTCAGTTTCAGTTTGAAGCTCAGATTTATTATTTTCCTGTCGTGTGATTTCCCTCTGCAAACTTTGGTTCTCTTCTTCTTTTTGTTTCAACATCAAGTCCTTCTCCATCAACAATGCTTTCAAATTGGATTTCTGTTCTCGAAGCGAAGCTAAAGTTTCCTCCAGCTGTGTTTGCTGAAGGTGACAGGCTTCGACTGTAGCCTGAAAATCTTTGCCGGTTTGCTCTTTTTCTGTGACGTCGAGCTGCAGGCGTTTGACCTGAGAACTCAAGTTCTGCACTCGTTCTTTCAGTTGAATCGTTTCCTCTTCTTTTTCACTGAGCATTTGGTTGAGACGACAACATTCATTTGTTTTTTTAAGCAGCACTTCTGAACTCGAGAGTGTGCTTTGCTCAATAACTCGATTTAGATTTTCTTTTTCTGTCTGTAGCCCTTGAATAGTTTTGTTCTTTTCAGAAAGCTGCAGCTCATGAAAATATATGTTTGCCTGCAAAGAATCTACCTGAGCAGCAAGTTCTGTGGCTTCCAGCTGAAGCTTCTCTTTGTGCTCAGTAAGGAGGTGGACCTGACCTTCCAGGCTGCTGTTCAGTTGAAGAGCAGACGTGACTTCATCACTGAGCTGAGTCACTTGATGTTTCAGCAGCTCCAGCTCCTCGTTTACATCTTTAAGTTTGTCTTCAAGGTTCTGCTTATCTGTCTCTGTGATTTTTAAATTGTTCTCCAATTTGGAGATACCTTCAGACTTGCTCCGAAGTTCACCGACCAACTTCTCATTCTCTGAACTCCGAACTTTCAGTTCTTCATTGAACTCCTGCCTCCCATCCACCATCTTTTGATTGGCTGCCTGTAGTTGGTTTTCCAGCAATGCTACGGCTTCCAGCTTCTCTTTTATTTGCTCCTCAAGTCTTCTAGACAACGTCTGAACTTCATTGTTGTATTTTTCTACTCGAGTTAAAAGTTTGTTTTGCTCCTCCTTGAAGGATTTCAGCTCTTTTTCGTAAGTCTCCTGCTGTAGTTTCTCATTGATCAAAAGTCCTTCTGACTCGTGAACCTTCTGAGCAGAAAGTGCTAGCTGTTCCTTCAGCGAAACGATGTGGGTTTCACATTCAGAAAGATGATTACGATGATTTGAGGTAACTTTCTGGATTGTTCTTCGAAGATCTCGGATAGTTTTCTTGTCATCTTCGGCCTGCTGTATCAGCTGTTCCACCTCAGCTGCTTTAGATTGACTCTCCTTTTTAGCTGTTTCTAGCTCTACCTCAGAGTCTTTTAGCTTCTCAACCAGCTCAGAGACTTTGTTGTTCAAGACTTGCTGGTCTGAGTCCTGGGAGTCTCTGATGATCATGGCCTTCTGCTCAGCCTTACTCAGAGCTTTTTCAACCTGGATAAGGCTCTCCTCTTTCAGTTTGAGCTCCTGCTTCAAAATCGTGACGTGCTCTGCATGCTCAGACAAGTTGTTAGTCAGGCTCAAGATCTCTTTGTCCTTTTCCAACAGAGCATCTTTCAGACTATCAATTTCCCGTTCACAGCTTTGAAGGTCATGAATAAGTTGGGCCCGCTCCTCCAGTTGAGAGGTGTTTAGCTTGTCCAGCTCCTCGTTTGTCTGATCAAGCTCAGTTTGCAACATTACAATGGAGACATCTTGCTTTTGTGCCTGCAATGAAACAAAAACCATAATGAAACACCAAGCAAATCAGTTTTCAGATTGCACTTGTTATCATGGGAGTGTAAATAAGTTTTATCCGCTAACCTACCTTATCTCAATGGGATAAGGGAGGCTCAATGGGATTTACCTGTATAAATAAAGGTTGATTGATTATCTCCTATAGGAGGTGCTGTAAATGAATGTAACTAGGGGTGTCAGTTCAGCAGAGCTATATTAAAGCCTCAAGCATACTCGTGCGTACGTCAATCCGCAGAGGTCCATGCGTACCGTATTAGAGTTGAAGCGGACACCCGCAGGGCATGTCTGTGCAAAGCTCAATTTTTATGACAGCGTACGTGCACTCAGTGTCGCACAATAAACTGCCCGGCGACGGACTGTTTTGTATGCGACACAAATGTATTAAATTTCCCTTCTTCATCCCTGATCTGGTTTAATGGTCTTGTGATTTTTTTCCAAGAGGCAAGCGATCTCTTCTTCCTCCTCCGTTGACGCCATGACTGAAATTGTGAGAAATTAAGGAATTTGTCACGAGCGAATTAAAATCAGGTCCAGCATGGCTGCTAGAGGGTCTGGAGATTTCCTCGTGGGCTGGTCTGATGTGTGGGCTGCAGGGCCAGCGCTCCCTGTTTTTAAATTTTTTTTGTTGAACTTTTTAATGAACAACATATAAACACAGAACAACGCTGCGGCTGGAGCTGCCGGTTCTCGCTTTTTTTTTGCAACCTGTCAATCAATCCAGTAGGCGTGTCAGCAAATGACCAACCGATGACCTCAATTTGTCCGGAAGATAAACGCCCCTTGCCTGCGGAGCTAGTATGCAGAGTGGACGCTCGAGTATGAAGTCTCAACCCTCTGCAGACAGTGCGCATCGAGTCAGCGCTGAAAAAGTTCTGTGCGAGTATACTGGAGCCTTAACACCCATGCTGTTCCACCTACATTATTCCTACAGTTATAGCTCAGTGTGAATCTGGTTTTACTTGGAATGCTCCCTCTTTGACACCCTTCACCTAATCAGGATGATCCTGTCTTAAAATACAGATAAGATGGTCTGACTTGCTTTAAAGCGCAAACCGTTTTTGCTGGAGGATGTGGGTGTGGTGGCGTGGCGAATTAAAAAGTGACGCCGTTGCAATACGTTTGGCTCGAAATTGCACAGATTTCAGCCGAGGTGTACCAACATCACTATGATCGATCATTATCCACCCCTTGAACAGGTATCCATGATAAGTGGCCAATAGCCTCCATAGCGACACCTACATTATTCCTAAAGTTATAGTGCAGTGATACATCATCCGATCTGCACCAGATTTATTGTTCGTCATCAGTGAGCACTTGTAGACACATTGGTATTGTTCTTTAACATTTGACTCAAGTGCGCCCCTAGATTCTTTGCGTATATATAATAATGAATATAACAATAATCTTTTATTAAACGATATATATATATATATACATACAGGCCTTGGCTGCCTCCTTGTGGTGTGACGTATTGTGTCATTTCCTGTTTGTCTGTCAGTAGCTCGAGTGAATTGTTTGCCCGAGTCGTCTCTGTTTTCTGGATTTATCCGTCTTTTGCACAGTTTTTCATTCTAGTTCACAAACACTCTTAGTACAGTTGTTTCTCTACTGTTGGATAGTGCTTAAAACACCTCTTATCTTTCAACACTTCTCGGTTTTTATTGGTGGATTTGGCTCTGCTAGCTCCTGCTAGCGTTAGCTTAGCATGGCTGCTGCTTCTCTCCCTGCTTTCTCTGTTTTCTCTTGTTCCGTGTGTCAGATGTTTAGTTACTCCTCTGCCTCCTTTAGTGGTAATGATACATGTAACAAATGTGGTCTTATGGTAGCTTTGGAGCAGAGGCTGTCTGAACTGGAAGCTCGGCTCCGCACTGTAGAAAAACTACTAGCTTGCCAGGTCCCCTTAGACAGCGTGGAACCACAGAGGTTAGCTCCCGTTAGCGGTCCTCCAGCAAACCCCGAGCAGCCGGGACCCCAGGCCGGCTGGGTGACGGTCCTGAGCAAGAGTAGTGCTAAGGCTAAGCCCCCAGTTCACCACCAACCCGTTCACGTTTCTAATAGATTTTCCTCGCTCAGTGACACACCTGCTGAGAAGCAGACTCTGGTTATTGGCAGCTCCATAGTCTGAAACGTGGCTTTAGGGACTCCAGCGGCCATAGTCAAATGCATTCCGGGGGCCAGAGCGGGCGACATAGAATCTTATCTGAAACTGCTGACTAAGGCTAAGGCTAAAAATGGTAAGATTGTTATTCACGTCGGCGATAATGACACCCGGTTACGCCAATCGGAGGTCACTAAAATTTATGTTGCTTCGGTGTGTGACTTTGCTAAAAACCATGTCGGACTCTGTAGTTTTCTCCGGCCCCCTCCCCAACCTGACCAGCGATGACATGTTTAGCCGTATGTCGTCGTTTAACCGATGGGTGTCCAGGTGGTGTTCTGACAATGACGTGGGCTACATAGATAACTGGAGTTCTTTCTGGGGAAAAACTGTTCTGATGCGGAGAGATGGCATCCATCCCACTTTGGACAGAGCTGCTCTTCTTTCTAGAAATATGGCTGATTTTCTTTATCCCCAAATTATTGACAACCCAGGGTCCAGTCCAGGAAGCAGAGTTGTAGTCCTCCACACCTCTCTGCTGCTTCTCCTCTGTTACCCACCCACACCCCCATTGAAACAGTGTCAACTCGCCCACGGCTCAAATTAAATAAACCAAAAATCAGCTCTAAAAATATAAACCATAAAAATCTGATTAAAATAAACACAGTTACTTTACCAGAGCAAAATCATAAAATCATTAAATGTGGATTAATGAACATTAGATCTCTTTCCTCTAAATCCCTGTTAGTTAATGAACTGATAACTGATCATCATATTGATTTATTCTGTCTGATAGAAACTTGGCTACAACAGGAGGATTTTGTTAGTATAAATGAATCCACTCCTGTTAATTATTTAAATTTTCATGTTCCTAGAACAACTGGCCGAGGTGGAGGAGTAGCTTCTATTTTTCAGTCAAGATTATTGATTAATGCCAAACCAGTTATTAGTTATGATTCTTTTGAATCGCTGTCCCTCAGTCTTTCTCATCCAAAATGGAAATCAGAAAAGCCACTTTTACTAGTTGTTATATATCGTCCACCAGGTTCTTACTCTCAGTTTTGTCTGAATTCTCAGAATTATTAACAGACTTATTATTAAATACTGATAAAATCATCATAATGGGTGATTTCAATATTCATGTGGATGTTGAGAGTGATAGTTTAAGCATAGCCTTTAATAATTTAATAGACTCATTTGGTTTTACCCAAAACGTCCGCACATCTACTCATTCTTATCATCACACTCTTGATTTAGTTCTGACCTATGGTGTAGAGATTAAGGACTTGGTAATAGTTCCTCAAAATCCTATTCTGTCTGACCATTTTTTAATAACCTTTGAGTTTACATTAAATGACTACACAGTCACTGAGAGTAAATTTAATCTCAGCAGGTGCTTAACAGAAAATGCTGTAACCAAATTTAAACAATCTCTTCCATCATTGTTTCCTCTGTCTTGCAGAGTAATGCATCAGAGAACAGAGACTTAGATCATCTAGTTGATCATCTTACAACTTCAATGCAAACTTCACTTGATAAAATTGCTCCACTGAAAAAGAAAGCAATCAATCAGAGGAAACTGGCTCCTTGGTTCAATTCTGAGTTACGTA